TAAAGTCAACAATCAGATATTCTGAGGGCGTTTCCTCAACATGAAGGAATCAATAGACAGACTATGAGCTCTTGAGTTTATCTTCTTAAAAAGAAATTATGCCTCGCTTGAGACATTTTCCACAAATTTTGAAAATTTTAAAAAAACTTTTGTCTCGCTTGAGATAATTTCTCTCAAAACAAATTTCGTCTCGCTTGAGACATTTTTTTTCTCTGAGATACAAATTTAAATTTGTTGTATTTGAAAATAAATTAATCTCACTTGATATTTTCAAAATCGATTCGTCTCGCGTGAGACAATTTCCCCTTTAAACACAAATCCTAAAATTGTTTTCCTTGAAACAAAACAAACACCTTTGAGATTGTTTCCCTATAAAAAAAAACCAACAATCTTTGAAACTTTTTCTCTTAAAACGAATTTTGTCTCTCTTGATACAGTTTCTCTTGAAACAAAAATCTTTGAACCTGTTTCTTTAGAAAAAAAATTGTCTCTTTTGAAGGAAAATCTTTAAGTCCGTTTCTTTGGAAACAAATTAAATTTTGTCTCTTTTAAGACAATTTCTTTTGAAGAAAAATCTTTGAGTTTGTTTATTTGGAAAAAAATTTTGTCTCTCTTGAGACAATATATTTGAGTTTGTTTCTCTTGAAACAAAAGTCTTTGAGTCTGTTTCTATTAAAACAAAATCATCTTTGAGTCATTTCCCTTGAAATAAATTTTGTCTCTTTTGAGATAGCTTCTCTTGAAGCATCATCTTTGAGTCAGTTTCTCTTGAAACCATTATCCTTAGAAAACATGCCGTCCTCATCACGTGGGAACCGTGTTATCATCCTAAAGATGGCCAGTCGTCCTCATCACATAGGAACTATGTCATCAACCAATCAGACTTCCTCATCACGTAGAAGTTGTGCCACCCCTGATAATCGGTCGTCCATATCACGTAGGAACCTAGTTATCATCTCTAAAGATGGCTTACCGTCCTCATCACATAGGAAATGTGTCATCTACCAACCAAACCTCCTCATCACGTAGGAGCAGTGTCACCCCTAGATAACCAGTCGTCCTCATCGCGTAGGAACCGTGTTATCGCCCTTTCTAAAGATGGCCAAACTCTTCATCACGTATGAGTTGTGTCATCACCGACCAGACCTCCTCATCACGTAGAAGCCGTGTCACCCCTAATAACTAGTCATCCTCATCACGTAGGAATCGTGTTATCATCCCTAAAGATTGTCTGACATCCTCATCACGTAGGAACCGTGTCATCTACCAACCAGATCTCATCATCACGTAGGAGCCGTGTCACCCTTAGACGACCAGAACTCTTCATCGCGTATGAACCGTGTCATCCCTAATCCAAACACATCAAATTCAAAACCAAAAAAGAGAATCGGACAAAAATTGGTTATTTTTTTCGTCTTTGCTATATTCTTCTTAACACAAGATTGTGCAAGGAAGAGTAGCTGTAGACATCCGTTTTTGTCTGAGTTTATAAAAAATATTATTATTATTTTTTATTTTTATTAAATCACATATTACATCTTTTGCAGGCTTAATACCCGGAGCCCAATGAATTCAGCAACCCAACTGGAACTAGATCTAGGCCCAGACAAGCAAAACCAGGTTGACCCAGAACCCAGCTGGAGCCCGACCCGTTTACAAATAATAAGACCCAGCTCAATAGCCCATCAAGAGGATCCAGACCCGACCCAAGATCCAGATCCAGATCCGATCCAGACTTTACCCGGATCCGACCCGAATTTATATGATAACCTAATAGTTTTAGGGTTTCTAAAACCTTAAACTAAAGATAGCCAACCACCGTTCAAGTAAGTAACCCTCCAACTTCCAGTCGACACGTGGACTTCACCGTCGTGTTCCAAGCACGCGTGAGCCCGCCGCCAAGCCACTAAGCCGCTGCTAATTGCTTCCCCGATGTCTGACGCCGCCATCGACAATCCTACACCAAACATTGATAGCAAATACATCAAACAATGACCTATTCTACTCCCATTAGTAAAAAACGTTCATAGCAACAGAGAAGAAAAATAAAGATAATGGATAAGTAATAAAAGGGAAATCCTGAGGGGATTTACCTCAGGATATATCATGCAAATGACGATCACCATAAAAACAAAGAGGAAAAATATAAGAGGATATCAGAGAGAGACTCGGGGGGCTTCAAAGGAAAGAGAGAGATATATCGAAAGAAAAGAAGAAGGAAAAGAAGAAGAAGCCTTGAACGAAAAAATAATAATGAAAAAAGAAAAAACAATGATAAAAGAGAAAGGGAGAAACTTACGAGGGTCGGGGTAACGTCGGGAGCACCAGATCTTTTGAAAGGTAAACCTTCAGATCTGAGGTCCTAGAGGCATTTTTAAGTCGAGTGGGATTAGTTTTTGGGTTGAGGGTGAAATAAGATCTTTTGAGGGTGTTGGCTTAGCTCCGGTCGCCGTATTCTGTCGTGGTGCCGCCGTGAATACTGTCGGTGGCAGTGAACTTTTCTCCTCCGAGGGGAATTTGAGAGAGAGTTTCTCCTGTTCTATTTTCAGAAGTGAAGGCAAATGAGAGAATAAGAGGAAAATGCCTTGTTTTTGGGTTTATAACCCTTAATCGAAACGACACCGTTTTCACTGGGGGGTTACCGTGTTTTTCAAATGTTGGGTAAATAGTCATTTAAGTCCTCATAGCTTTGTAATCTAGCATGCATGCTTTAATGTTTAGGGGTTAATAGTTTATTTAGTCCATGGGTTTTTGTAAATCTCACCCGTGCTTTTATTTTCTATGGGGATATTTACAGTTTAGATCCCCATGCATTTATAATCTCATTTCTTAGAAAGTTAATGAATATTTTACTTTATTCTGTTTTGAGCACTTAAGTTTCTGTATTTATTTTATGGTCCTATTATTATATGTTAGGTTATTATTGTATATGTTTGAATTTGGTTGCAATATTTGTAATTATTTCATTTTAGTCACTGATTTTGTGTTTTGTGTATTTTTGAGAATGTTCGAATTTGGCCACAATATTTGTAATTATTTTATTTTAGTCACTGTTAGCATTTGGTTTAATTATAGTTCGACCCATTATGTTTCTGTTTATTTTTTAGTCCTTACTATTATTTCTGGGTTATTTTCATTTCTAGTACCTGTACTGCTTAATATTTGTGATTTTGGTTCTAGTTTATTTGTAATTATTGTTTAGCCCTTTAATTTTCTATTTTTACTATTTTAATCCTTTAAGTTTCTGTTTTTATTATTTTAGTCTTGTAAATTTCTGTTCTTGTTATTTAGTCCTTTATTTTAATAAGCATGCCTATTTTTTATTTGTATTTTAATTTATCATGTTTGTAAATGTGTATATTGGTCCAAATTTGTAACTTTGTTTTATCAATCGTTATAATTTCATATATGTATAAAAATGAAAAATTTCATTGTGCGAGAACTCTACGAAGACATATTCCGACTATAAGGAAGGTGTCTTTTCGAAGATTTTTCACATAAATGTGTTTTGTATTCGATAATTATCTTTGTTCCGCATTTATTTATTTTGATTATTTTTCAACTCTTTTCACTTTTATTTTGTTTTATTTTATTTTATGTTATCTTTGCGAAAAATGTAAAATAATGCCATTTTGTGAGGGGTAATCTATGGGAAAGTCTCCTAACTGTAAAGGAAGTGTTTTTTTCGAAGATTGTTCACACAAAAGGGCATTAGTTATGTGAAATTTATACTTTTTGAATAAATTCGAATGAATAAAAGGATCATAATTTAAATATATTTTTGAGTTTGTAATTTCCAATGTTTCAACAATATATAATCGTTTGTGTACCAAATTTTGGGCGTTGTGGGAGTGCTCACCCTTATCCACACGTAATCGACTATCGAACTCTTAAAAACGAATCTTTGGTAAAACACAGACCATTTTTTGACGTTTAAGGTTTCCAACCTACCTAACTTAATAGTTGGTGGCGACTCCAAATTAAACCATTTTCCAAGTCATATTTCATCGCTTTTCGTGAAACAAATTTTTTAAGTCTAACGGATCCCTGCAGAAACGTTATGACACCCCAGTTGCCACCTTAGAATTCTTTTTTAATGAATTATCTTAGGAGTAAAAAAAATATCCAAAATATATAAGTTTAGGTGCGTGTATACAAATAAATAAAGAGAATGAAAGATTAGAACACAGGAACAATTAAAAGAGGTGTGTCTTTCTTTTTCTGAATCTTGAGAAAAGGCTGTAGGAAAACATACTTGATTTGCAAAAAGCAACAAAACCCATGTCTGGAATCTGTCTCTTTAAAGTTATGGCTACTGATTAAGGAAGGAAACTAAGCATATTTTACTGAACTGATTTAAGTTGTCTTAAAAGTTGTTTGGTTGTTTCAATGTTTGGAAAAAGCAGTCGTTATTATTACTTTGATTCAAAGTTGATAGATGAGTTCCATTTTGATATAGCCGAAGTCGAAGTGGTATGTAATCTTGGATATTGGAGGGTGAGCAATGAAATGACAATGGCCTGACCAGCTGAAGTAGCTAACATGCCCAAAGACGCTGAAATTTATAGAAGAAGGGCAGATTCTTTGAGTACCCGTGTAAGGCCTCCTCCAACATGTGTGCATGAATCTGCTAGTGTTTGTGAGGCTTCTGAATCCAACATAAGCTTTCCCAAACTTTAAGACCAGATCTTGTTATCTAAGGAACGATGGGTTCACATAATGATTGAGATTAGTGTTTTTTAAAATGTAATAGTATCTGATAATATTTTTAAAAATCAGATCAGGTCAAATCGATGAAACACTCCAAAAGAAATGATAGATGAAAGATAATATATTTGGAACCCATGATAAGAGTATGTCTGTTCGGCTGTTCCTATTGTTAAATCTTGTAATCGTGATATGAAATCTAAGATCTATGTTGAGAAAAAAACGAGAAATAAAGGCAAAATTGATACCATACCGACGACGCAAGTCCAGTGCAATAGATAGACATAAATGTGAGACGAGACGATGGAACCAAAATGCTGAAATCGTTACTTAAAGAAACTGAACATTGCCGGATCTTTATGCTTCTCAAGAAGCTAAAATCGAAACGATGCAAATTACGAGTATAATCAGACCAACAGCACAAACCCAATAAACCCAAGTTTTCCTCTTCTTCGTCATTTGATTAGCATAGTGTAAACTAGAGATTCCGCCACTGATGAAGCTACCTGCGTTGGCCACATTCTCTTCAATATTATCCATTTTCTCCCCTTGTGCCTCGACAAGCACGGCCATGTCTAAGAACACCTGATGAAGCCTCTGCAAACTTCTTTGGATATCAATGACAGCCTCGTGCCTTTCATTTTTCTCTGCAAATAACTCGACTTTTTCGCCACCGGATACCACTTTTCCTAGAATTTCTTCGCTCAGTGACTCGCCGGTGGCGGCGTAGTATTTTCTCTTGAGATCTTGTTTTTGATTGGATAAAATCTTTTCCCTCAAGCCCTGGAAATCCTTCATCATTTCCCGAAGCTTAGCTTTCAAACCACTGGTGACTGAAATCCTGGTTCGATCCACACAAGTCCCTTGTTGTTTCCTGTTGGTTGCATTGGATCTTTCCAGTGATTCAAGCCTTTCTTTAACAATCTTTGCTTTTCTGAGAATGGAAACCGTGTCTGATTCCATTCTATCTCTTAACCCTCGAAGAACTTTGGTGCTGTGAGTGGACTTGGTTTCTTCATTTAGGGTTTGAAGATCGAAGAGGAAACTGGTAATCTCGTCCATGGCGGCCTTGATTGATTCCACTTCTTGGAAGAAGTGAGGGAGGTTGCTTTCATCTGTGGGGTTTAGGCATCTCTCGATATCAAGGTCAGATTCTAAGTCTTTCTCTGCTTGTTTCTTCAGTTCCACATAACTTAAGAACGACTTTGTCATTAGATCATTCATCTTTGCAAGCTTCTGTAAAAAAAAAAGAGACAAACCCAGAAGAGAAAATGAAAACAGTTTCCGGAAAAAAGATGCATGAAAACGAAAGCCCGATGCTTGTAAAGAAACGAAACCAACCCTTTGTTTTGATTCTTGGTTATCTTCACTGATTCTTCAGAAGTCTAAAATACAACATCTTTTAAACTCAGCAAATGATTGAATTAATAAAATAAATGAGAAAAAAATCTTGAAAGTAATGAGGAGAACCTGAAAGTGAGGATTCCAACTTCCCAGAAAACCGAAATCTGCTGTTTTGTTGAGTGTCGAAAGCGTTGCTGAAATGGCCAAGATTACTTCTCTTTAAGTTGATGGGGACCAGAGTCGACGAGAAAAATAACGGTTCAAATGGGGGAAATTTTGAAGCGAATCAAGGAACGGGATTTTTCAGTTAATCAATTTAAATTTTTGTTCAAGAAGATGAGCCGTTGGATTGTGGGAGAGCCCTCGAATTCCGCCAAAATAACTTGCACATTAAACACATCATCTTTTTCTTTTATCGAAAATTCATTATTAAACTTTGTTAAATGCTAAATGGTATTCAATTTTTTTAGAAAAAGATTAATATGACTCTTAAATTATGTTTACAACCGATGTTGATCTTTAAATTCAAAAAGAAAATTAATTTGGCCATTTAAACGACATTTTTGTCGTTGATTGTTTTGATATTAATAAGATATTTAACGATATTGATATGATGATTCACGGTATACTAAATTGATTTTTTTTTATCGAATTAGATAATCTTAAATGTTGGACTCATGTATTAGTTCTTTGATAAAAGGAAATGCTTGGTTGAGTGGAAAATGGGGAAAGAAAAACAATTTAATTTAAAACATAAAATGTTTGGACTAGAAGGCTAAATAAACCCTTACAAGTATTATTTTATAACTTGTGATATATTTTAATATTAAATTTTTTAATAATTTAGTTTTTAGTGGGTTTATATTATTTTTTTAATATTTAAATGTTTTTATTTTAGATATAACATATATATTTTTAACTATTTAAATAAATAAATCCTCAAGTTTTAAAAAAAATTAATTTAACTCTTGAATTCAATAAAAAAATTAATTTAATTTATTAGTCATTTCATCAAAATAGGAGCAATCATAAGTCCAAAATAGGAGTAAAAAACTTATTTGGCCCTTGAACCATTCATAACGTCTTTAAATATTTAAACCCGAAGTGATCAAAATAAGAACAAATCAAAAGTTCAATAAGTAAATTGAACTTTTTTGAACTTTGGTGACCAAAATAAGAATAAGAAATATATTGAGTGATGAAATGCTGAATTTCCCTTATGAAATGAAATTCTATTTCAAATGTGGCAACTTGGTAAATAATCTAAAAATGTCTGGTAATTGGAAAGATTCATAGTGAAAACGGGAAGAAAATCGAAGTCGGATGCATGGCTTGGAGTTTGCCACAACTGGTCAAGTTACAGAAGCCACAGAACTGGCCGCCTCAAAAATCCTTAACCTTTAAGAACCAACCCTTTAAATATCATCACTGTCTGCGAACACTTGTCTCTTCCGTTAACTCTCATTTCTTTTAAGTTCTAAAAATCGTTTCCCCCCTTTCTTAGCCAATAATTTAAAGGCCGCCCTTCATTTGTACTCTCTCAGGGTTTTAGAACCATTCTTGGAGGACTACAACAATGGATTCTTCTTCATGTGCAGTCTCACCTTCACTTAGAACTGAATTGTTAAACCCAATCTCTACTAGGTTTCTCTCTCCTTCAAGAATCTATCATCAGCCAAGTAAGCTAGCTTCTGTTGTGAATCTTCAACTTAATATTTTCATTTTTATAAATTTGATTACTTTCTCTTTTGTTTACTTGCTATGCACTTAAAAGGAAACAAATGTGAGATGATAAACAGGAGGGGTTTTGCTTTAAAGGGGATTATGGCATCTGGTGCATCGGTAATGGGTTCTTCCTTGACTAGCGAACCGGTTCAAGGTCAGGTTTTTAAATATTCCCCAAATTGTTCTTTGCTTCTTAAACCGTGGGTTAGTTTTTGTTTTGTATCCTGGAATCTGGTTTCTTACAAAGTAGTACTTTTTTGGCTGACAGTTTGTGTTCTGTCTTAGATTAAGACCAGACTATTGTTGGAGCATAACTAGGTTTTGTTCACACAGGGCAACTTACTGTTGAGAATTGAGATTGTACCCAAGCTGCATTTGGAAACACAGAATTCTGTTGAGTTCAAAAAAAGTACTACACCTATAATTTTAGATTTCCTTTTATTGAATTTTGGTTTTTCTTTAGGAGTGGAGAGATTACCGTTCAAGCCGGACGGATACAACTTCTGGACATGGCGAGGTCGGAAAATACATTATGTAGTACAAGGGGAAGGGACCCCAATTGTTCTTATTCATGGATTCGGTGCTTCTGCTTTCCACTGGAGGTTTGCCATTTAATGCTTTTATTGCTCAAACTAGTTTATAAGGATTGATTTCCGATTGTTTCACCTGTAAAAAATGCAACTTTTCGTTTCCAAGTTAATTGAAGTTTCTGGTGGAAATCAAACAATGATAATTAGAGGATTGGAGCGAAAATATTCATGGCATACTGGTTAATTTCGACTATTGTTATCTAGTGTTAGTATTATAAAATCAGGTTCTAAGTCATATAAGACTTAAATGCTCCTTATGTTTTCCAAATTTGCAGGTATAACATACCTGAATTGGCTAAAAATTACAAAGTTTATGCCATAGATTTGCTAGGATTTGGGTGGAGTGAGAAAGCAATTATCGAGTATGATGCAATGATATGGAGAGATCAAGTAGTTGATTTTCTGAAGGAGATAGTAAAAGAGCCAGCAGTGTTAGTCGGAAACAGGTAACAATCAAGAACAAGTACTTGACGGTTACTCTCATTCCTGCATGTATGATCAAAAGATGTGATAACAATGAATCTTAACATGGTGTTGTCTGATATTGAATGAATAAGCTGCTTTTTTTCACTAACAATATGCATACGAGTCTGAATTACTTCCTTAAATGAAGCTGACATGATAATTGATGCAGTTTCAGCACTAAGAGCTTCATTTTTACTAGTCAAAACTCCGAAATTTGCATTAGTGTGATGCATACTGAGAGTGTTACTTTCATTCTTTTATTTACACTTTTTGAACTTGTCAAAGAGAAGTTCAACGAGTATTTCGGCCAGAACATCTGGTGCAGTCTCTAAAGCTGCACCGAGTATTTACATATCTTTTAACAATCAATAAAGTAGTAGATTTCCGAATGCATAACCTTCTAGCATGCCCTTTTCTATGAAAGCAAACCTTGAGGTCTGCATTTCCCCCCATAAATTCATTGGCCCAATTCTTCCGTTCCATTGATGGTTGTCATTGGAACTTGTCTTTCGACACAACATACCTAATGACAGTTTGTTGTTTATTTCAGTCTTGGAGGGTTTACGGCTTTGGTCGCAGCGGTGGAGTTGCCTGAACAAGTGGTTGGACTCGTGTTACTGAATAATGCAGGACAGTTTGGAGACACAAAGGCTAAAACCACCAAATCTGAGGAAACGTTCTTGCAGAAATCTATTTTGAAGCCACTGAAGGAAATTTTCCAGCGTGTTGTTCTTGGGGTTTTGTTCTGGCAAGCAAAGCAACCGGCTCGTATCGAATCTGTCTTAAAAAACGTATGTTACTCACAGCCTTATTTATTTGGCTTCCCTTGCAAGGTTTGTCCAGATTGTCAAAGGTTTGGATTGGTTTTATGAACTCAATGTCTAATATTAAACTTCACATGCATCCTAAGACGTAGCATCGGCAATCTTTAATGGTTCCCTGGAAGATATCAAGCCACTGATGATAGTTTTTCATAAAACAGGTGTATATCAATACCTCTAATGTGGATGATTATCTTGTGGAATCCATAAAAATGCCTGCAAATGATCCGAATGCCAGAGAAGTGTACTATAGGTATCTGTATTGCTTCAACTCTTTATTTTTATCGAAGTTTCAATGTTTGGCACTCTTTGTCAGTCCAAAGCATACAACATATATACCTGCAACAGCTTGTTTCACTGTCGAACTGTCAATTATCCTCAGGTTGATGACACGGTTCATGCTAAATCAAACGGAGTACACTCTGGACAGTTTCTTGAGCAAGCTAACTTGTCCACTCCTGTTGCTATGGGGTGACTTAGACCCTTGGGTTGGTCCAGCCAAGGCTAACCGCATCAAAGAATTCTACCCGAACACAACCGTCGTGAACCTACAGGCAGGTCACTGCCCCCATGATGAAGTTCCAGAACTTGTTAATAAGGCTTTAGCTGAGTGGTTGTCGACTTTACCGAAAAAGCTTCGCTCCAGACAGCGTAAAAGAGATCCAGTTTTATGACGCCGTGAATCACTTTGTTATAGGATTACGTATAATATAACTGTAAATACATTGATTACATGCTTCATACAAATGCAAGAGAGTTGAGCATTGTTTATTACATGTAGGTTCTTGGAAACAAAGGGGAAGGTTTATATGGCTTCTGGTAATGCTGTATCTTGGAATAAACTCTCAGCTTTTAAATTATAAGTTTTCTATTAAAAGGGATAATATAATCCAATAAAAGTGAAGAAAAAAAGATAGAATAAATTTTGTATTGAAAATTAATAATCACAGATTTACAGGGTTCAAAACGAATTATTCTAAAAAATTCATATCAATCAATAATCAGTTAGAATTGGGTTAATTGTATTTTTGACCCTCAAAAGTTTTCCAAAACAAGGAGAAAAGCGTACCGCGTTGCATACATCGCATCCTACTGAAAGAGATAACACGTGGCAGAAGGTGATCAATTCACGATGAGAAACTGTAGGACAAGTAACCGTATGGAACGAGAAGATGGTCGCTGAGCGCTGGGGCAGTTCATCTCCAGTTACAAAGCTTCACTTTCTCGGCTCAAAATATTAAAAAAAAAAAAACTCCTCAAATTGTCTGCTAAAATTTAAGAACGAGATGGGAACACTGGGGAAAGCAATCTACACCTTTGGGTTCTGGATCCGAGAAACCGGCCAAGCCCTCGATCGCCTTGGTTGCCGTCTCCAAGGCAGCTACTACTTCCAAGAACAACGTACGCACCGTAAAACCCTAACTTCTCATTCAATTTTACTACTGTATCAAATTCGCTACGCATTTATGCTTCATTTTTAGATCAAATCATGTAATATCGTGATATAATAATCATTGCTTTCATCGATGGAAATTCGAAACTACATTTGGGTAGATCTTGACCACGTATAGATGATTCTTTGGTAATTGTTTGGATTTGGTTTGTTTCAGTGTCGAGGCATCGGACGCTGATGAACGTATTCGACAAAGCTCCTGCTGTTGATCGGGATGTATTTGTGGCACCTAGCGCTTCTATCATCGGCGATGTTCAGGTCGGACGAGGTTCTTCTATCTGGTATGGATGCGTACTGAGAGGTAAGCAGCCTAATTTTTAATCAGCTGATGAATGGTTGACACACCAATAGTAGATTAACTGCTCTTTTGTTTTTATCCAAGTTTAGGGTTTGGATGATTTATAGTTCAATTAGTCTTGTTCTTAGGAAAATGAAGCTAATGAAGTTTTGTTATTTTATCTCAGGCATGCAACAAATGTTTTTAGAAATTAGAATTTTACCGTAATTTCTAAGATGAAACATTTTACCGGCAAGGTCCATGTTTAATGACGGATGTGTTGTAGCACATGAAATCCATGTTCTATTTTGTGCTCCGAATACTGAATTAAGAATTTTTGTGTGATGAGCCTGGAGTATGTTAGAAACTTGTAATGAAACTATGTTGTTTATGATTGATGACAAAAATTCATAATTGCTTTTATGACGATATATATATATCATAGGTATTAATTACCTAGCTTTTGAAGTAATTAGAGAGACTTCAAAATTCCATGACTGAACCTTTATCCATCCATTTTAGTTGCCCCTATTGAAAATGAGATTGATGTAAAACTTCTCATTTTTGTATCTTTTAGAACTTTCTCAGTAATTACTTTGCTTCTTCCCTCTGCCTGTTGTTGAATGCTAAGTCAATGACAGCTGCTATTTTCTGAAGCTGACTTTTGATGTGTGCAGGTGATGTCAATAGCATCAGCATTGGATCTGGAACAAATATCCAAGATAACTCCCTTGTTCATGTTGCAAAATTTAACTTGAGTGGGAAGGTTTTACCAACTATTATTGGTAGTAATGTTACTGTGGGTGAGTGAGCTGTCCTTTAAAGCGGTCCTTGTCTGCAGTTTTAATTGAAGATGTAATTACTAATAAAAATTGGACAGGTCATAGTGCTGTTTTACATGGATGCACCGTGGAGGATGAAGCATTCGTTGGTATGGGGGCTACCCTATTAGATGGAGTTTATGTTGAGAAGCATGCCATGGTTGCTGCTGGAGCTCTTGTGAGGCAGAACACTAGAATCCCATGTGGAGAGGTTTGTGGACTCTTCTTCACTGATATTTTGGAGTGTTAATCTTGCTTCAAATCTTATTGATAGATAAATGTGAAATAAGTATTTATGTTCTTTGTGAAATAGGCGTACCCGGTCTCTATGAAATTAGATACAATAGTTTGTACTCTACACATAGACAGCATGAAGCAATAGATAAGATTTTATAGGCAAAGTGGTAGGGATTGCCATTGTAAGTGGTTCCCGGTTCCGCTTTCAAATGGAAACTAGATTCAGCCTGCATTTTGCATATCAGCTAGGATGAATGTTACATGCTTTTTTGGTGTTTTGGAAGGAGAGGAAACCTTCTATTACTCTGTCAATAAGCTTTAAAAGGCCATTTTTAACACCCTGCTTTGGTCATGCTTATCACAGAGTAAAGTTTAAGGTTAATAATTGATCCAGCTATTCTACACTTGCTGACTGACTTTCTCTGTAATTTACAGGTATGGGGAGGTAACCCAGCCAGGTTCCTAAGGAAGCTGACTGAAGAAGAGATGACCTTCATTTCCCAGTCGGCCTTAAACTATACCAATTTAGCACAAGTTCATGCGGCAGAAAATGCCAAGAGCTTTGATGAAATTGAATTTGAGAAGGTGCTGCGCAAGAAATTTGCTCACCGTGATGAGGAGTATGATTCAATGCTTGGGGTTGTTCGTGAGACACCTCCGGAACTTATCCTTCCTGATAACGTTCTCCCTGATAAACTCCCCAAAACTGCTTAGGAGTCTCAATAATTCCTTTCTAGGATAATTCTAGAGATTCAATGTTAGTAGATAATTTTGTTATGATCTGAGGATTTAAAGAAAATGGGTGTTTCAGTTCCAATAATTTTGGGGTATGGTCTCGCTGAAATTGAATCATATTGCTGACCCAGGCGCTTGGCTACTGCTATCTTCTCTGGATTTAGAAGTTGAACCTGGTAGTTGGTAGAGACTGGCAGGCAACTGGATGTGCAAGTCATGTAAGTTAGTCTTGTGTGGTTGTATTGAACAATGAGTCGCTTGTTACGTTCACCGGCAATAAAAATAAAAGAAATGGGCTGACAATATGCTGTTCGTAATGAAAGCTTAATTCCATTTTAATAGTTTTGCCTGAAAGTTCTCATATATCTTTTTTGTGTACGCTCAGGTCCATCTCTATATGAAGGGTCAGCTTGGCAAAACTTTTGAAAAGTGTTGTTTGAAAGTGTAATTTAGAGTTTAATTGTTGAGATTGTTGTTAAAAAATGAGTTTGAAAAAAAAAAAAATCCAATATAAACATTAAACATTATGCTAGAAATTAAAAATATAGCATTTAAATTATATTTACACTTATTAATACCATAATATATAAAATATATCAATTTAAACTATAATAAAAATACAAAAATATTTTAAGAGCATTTAATTATGGGTAAACTACACGGGAGACCACTAAACTATGGTCAAAAATCAATTTGACCACAAACTTTCAATTGGATCAATCAGACCACCCAACTATTTAATTGGTTCAATCAAACCACCGACCATTAATTTTTAACAGAGGTGGTGACGTGTCCGTTAATAAAATTGGTATAATTATATATTTGGTCCTTAATATTTACATGTTCTATCAATTTAGTCACTATTTTAATTCAATTAAATAAATTTAACTATTCAATTAGAACGTGACACGTGTCAATACATGATTGGAAGATTTTATTTATGAATTTTAAATTATTTAATTAAATAAATTTTCTATCCATTCAGGTGATGACATGTGTCACCACCCAATTGAAGTGAAAATGATAGGGACAAAGTTGCGCTCCAAGAGATTCGAACCAATGTCACTGGGGAGGTAAGATTATAAGCAACTAGGCGCCAAAACTATTGGGCCAAAGTTCCACAATTGTTCAAACTTACAACAATTTGTATTTGTCTTTTAAAGGTTTGTTAATGATAAAAAATTAAACAAATTATTTGTTTAAATAAATTATTTGCCTTACAACAAATTATTAAAAAATTAAATAAATTATTCATGACTAATTATTATTTAAATAAATTGTAAATTATTTTTTTGAATTAAAAAATATTCAATTATTATATAAATTAGAAAATTCTAATTTGTTTTGGTTAATTCGAAAATTGACCAAATTAATTGAAATTTGTTCGGTTCGGTTAATAATTTTCAAATAAATTTTGGTTCGATTAACGATTAAAGAAAAAAATTCGGTTAATTCGTTTATGATTAATTCGATTCGATCGGTGGCCGAATTAACCGTTTGAACACCCCTAGTTGTAAATTTTAAAAGACAAATAATTTGTTTATTTTTTATCATTAACAAACCTTTAAAAGAAAAATAGAAATTGTTCTAAATTTAAACCATTGGGGATCTTTAGCCCAATAGTTTTGGCGCCTGGTTGCTTATAATCAACCGCCCGCCCGCCTACGTGACATTGGTTCAAATCTCTTGGAGCACAACTTTGTCCCTTTAATTTTCACTTTAATTGGGTGGTGACACGTGTCACAAAAATGGATAGAAAAATTATTTAATTAAATAATTTAAAATTCATAAATAAAATCTTTCAATAATGTATTGAGACATGTCACGTTCTAATTGGATAGTTAAATTTAGAGTAAACTACACGGGTGACCACCCAACTATGGTGAAAAATCAATTTGACCATTGAAGTTTCGATTGAATCAATAAGATCACCCAACTATTTAATTAGTTCAATCAAGCCAGTCACATTAGTTTTTAACAGAGATGGTGACGTGTTCGTTAATAAAAATGGCATAATTATACATTTGGTCATTAATATTTATAAATCCTATCTATTTGGATATAAATTATTTTAATAAAATAAATTTAATCTCTAATTAATTGGTGACACGTGTAATTACCTAGTCAGAGCATATTTTATTAATTTTTTTATTTATGTAATTGTCGCGGGCGTCTTTCCAATTAATTTGTCGGTTGTCTTAGTTGCGAAAATTTAAATTTAAATGAAATTTAAAAATTTGATTCGAATTGCTTACCTTTGATCGATTGAAATTACTACAGAAAAAAAGTCAAAAATATGTTAGATGGAAAAATAAATATTAAATAAATCGAAGAGAGGGAAAAATAAATAAATAAATCGAGAAAATAACAATAAAAAATGTTAAGAATAAGAAAGAAAAAATAAAAATAAACATAAAAATAAAAATGAAGAAAAATATTCAGTCTTTAAAAAAAAAAGAGTGTAAAAAAACAATATATATATATAACAATGTAAAATGAAATAAAAATATTAAAATTAGAAGAAAATAAAAAAAATATATATAATAAATAAATAAGAATGTAAAAGATCAAAATACAAAAACAAAAGGTTAAAGAACTAAAATGGTGAAAATAGAAATTTAAGGGACTAAAATAATTAAAATAGAAAGTTAAAGGACTAAACCCTAAATATACATAAACCAGAGCTAAAAACGAAAATATTAAATAACACAGGTACTAGAAATAAAAATAACCCACAAATTAAGAATAAGGGCTAAAATGAAATAAACAGAAACATACAGGACCACACAGTCATTAAACCAAATACTGAACAATGACTAAAATCGAATAATTACAAATTCAGTGACCAAATTCGAGCATCAGCCCAAAATATCAAACACACAAAACGAGTAATTAAAATGAAACTATTACAAAATTAAGAGGCCGAAATAAAAAAATAAAGTTGCATTAATGACCATAATAGATAGGTACAAAAGTACAAAGGACCTTTCTGGTGAATAACCCAAGCACGAAACTGCATTGCAGGTCCCCCCGAAATGCAACCGTTTCACATGCAATATAAATGGCCAAAATTAGGTCAAAAAACAAACAACTCTTATTTGTTCCATCTTCCAATCGAGAGAAGAGAGAGAAGAAATTCTCTCAACTTCCCTCGCCGGAGAGAAGGAACCATGACGGGGATGAGGCGGCGTTCCCCGACGCCGACGATCGGAGGAACCAAGGTAAGACTTTTCTCTTCTCCACCTTCTTTTTTCCTTTCAGTTTCGGTTTCGGATGCTTTTGATTTTATTTTTTTCGAAACTCTTCTGTGTTTTTGTTCGATCTTTGGTTCCCGAATCGTTCCCCCCTTTGCATGGATGTGTTGCATGAATTTATAAGCTTAAAAAACCTATCTTTTAGCTCAGTTAAAGACTCCTACTAAAATGCTAACTCTTTCTCTGTTTTTTGACTTGGTTGTGCATTGGATTTCTCAGGGAGGTGGGTTGTGGCTGTTGGAATGAGGATTCTCTAACAGTTGAAGGCACGGTGGTGGAGAGTTAGGGTTTAAAACCCTAACTTGCTTCAGGTGAGAGCTTTTTCGAGTCATGAACCGGGTCTCTGGTCGGGTTCCAAATGGATCTGGGCTGCAATGTAATCAGGCTTGTTAGGCTTTGGGTTACGTGTTTGTAATTGGGTTGGGATGTATGGGTTGTACCTAACAAAACAAAGAAAAAATATTAGTTTAATAAAAAAAATAAAAAAAATATATAATATAATATAATATAATATAATATATGTATTATGCAGTGTAAATACAATAATAAAATAATAAAAATAACATGTGAGGTCGGACGAAAATGAGAGTCTACAGCTAACCCTCTTTATCCTTTTTTATATAACTAGAAATAGGACAAAGATAAAAGGACATAAATTTTCGTTCGGTATGAAGGGGTCCCAGAGTCTAATATCCTCCCTTGTGGAGTTGAAACTTGACCCTAATATTGAAATTAGGAGTAACTCCCTATTAAATTGAGTTGCGAATGACTCCTCCGTCGCAAGTCGATTCAGTCTTGAAATGATATCATTCTTCATGAAATTGAAACCGTAGCTCGGAATTTGAATAGAAATGTGGTTTCTTATTTCCAAATCGTAGTCAACATTGGTCTTCTTCTCGGTTTAAAGGTATTGGATTGAAAATTTGACTGGAAAGTAGATTCTTGACACTACCATGTGATTGATAGGCTCTCGAGCTTAATGGAATCGAACTCAAAAGTTTTTTGTTGACAGATAGCTATGTTGTACTAGACTAAGAGATTGCCACAGATATTCTTCTTGACTTAAAGAACTTGGCTTAAACTTTAACTGGAAATTAGTTAATCGTTGTCATCGAGCTAAATGGAATCGAACTCGAAGGTTTTTATTGACAGATAACTTTTCTCGACTTAAGTTATACTGCTGAGATAGTTTCTTGTCATTAAAACACAACTAACTCATGTCTTCTTCTTGACTTAAAGACCTTGACTTAAACTTTACTCGGAAAATAGTTCCTTGCTGCAACAATGTAGTTGATATGTCATCGAGCTTAATAGAATCAAACTTGAAGATTTTTGTTGACAGATAGCCCTTATTGCCTTGATCTATGCTGTAAATTTGGTTGCCCTTGAGCTGAATGTAATCGAACTCGACGATTTCTCTTGACAGATAGCTTTTCTCGACTTAAGTTATACTGTAAATTTGACATGCCCTTGAGCTGAATGTAATCGAACTCGAAGGTTGTGGTTGACAGTTAGCCCTTCTTGCCTTGAGCTATGTTGTAAATTTGATAGGTCCTTGAGCTTAATGGAATCGAACTCGAAGGTTTTTGCTGGCAGATAACCCTTCTCGCCTTGAGCTATGCTGCAAATAGTTCCTTTAAGTGAAAAATGACTCCCCTTCACAGGTCTAAGCCGGTCATTTTTCTTTAAATGACTCCCCTTCACATGAAAGCCAAGTGGTATATTCTGTCAGTTGGATATCATCCGTCGTGGAGCTGAAATCTGGCTTGAAAACGTCAACTGAGTTAGGCTGAACTGGATTCGTTCTGGATTGGCTCTCGAGCCCGTCTGAAGTTGATTATAAGATCTGTTGATCTTTCAATATGTCAAGTTGGTTTTAGTTGTAGTTTCTCACTGCTGAGTTAAGCAACCACCATCCATTTCTGAATGTGCTTTTAAATCGAGTATCTTTCGTCTTGAAGTTAAAACTTGACTCTTAAAGCTATAAAAAATATATATGCTAAAAATGATAAATGTGATGCTCTTAAGTATGTCTAAGATGCATGCAACATGAATTAGTTTTGTTTTA